GTCAATGGGTCGGATCAAAAAGCTGGCCTTGTGCTAGACATGGCCGCGTGGTTCAGCTACTTCGCGTAAGTCTTTTTTTCCCAGTCCACTGGCGTGCCCCGACATTTTGTTTTAGCACAGACTTCATGGGCGATATGGCGTAAATATCCTGTATGTGGTTTCCCGGCAGAAACTGATGCAATTTAATCTAGTTTCGGCGGTGGCTTCGAGCTAATGATGGCTAGTGGGAGTAATGATGGCATTCGGCCCATCATTGAGTCGGCTGTTCAGTACGTATCTGGACACTGGTAGGGCATACTTGCCAACCTCACTACTCATTAGTATCTTTGGAATCATTGCACATGTAACATATATTTTACCACCTCTGATTGCAATCGCCGGGAAGGACGGCCCCGCTCAACGTATGCAAGATTTCTGCAGAGAAAGGGTCTCCCATCGGTTGCAAAGCGGCGCGCACCAGAAAGACTTATTCTACCATCTCGTAAGTTCCCATATTAAACTCACATATTCCGTTCTCTACAACCATTTACAGAGTGGTGAGGAAGTGCCAGAGTCCGAGCGCCTGTCCGTGGACGATCTTGCAATGGAAGGACTTTTAGCCATTATCGCTGGTTCGGATACAGTAAACGGTTCCCTTTCCTGTGCTCTTTATTACCTTGTATGTAACCCAGCGGTATATGGGCGCTTGCAAGAAGAGGTCGACGCCGCCTTCCCGAGTGGAGAAGAACCCCTGGACGTAGCGAAGTTGAGCTACATGGAATGGTTGAACGCTTGCATGTGAGTACGGAACACAGCTCAGGAAGAACTAAGCTTTTTTTTTAAAAAAAATTATTCCGAATAGTAACGAAACACTCCGTCTTCAACCCCCAGTCCCAGGTGGGTCAGGACGCATCCTGGGCAAGGGTAATGGCGCAAGAGTGTTCGGAAATTTGTAAGCGGGACACCCCTGTAGATCCGACCCTTCTCTCAATTATTCTAATGAACGGTATTATCCATGTGCAGGGTCATTCCAGAAGAGACCCAGCTCTCCCTCCATACATATAGCATTCACCGCGACCCGCGAAACTTCTACACGCCTGATGCGTTCTTGCCAGAACGATGGCTTAGCAATGGTGCGCCTGCGGGAGTACACAACACGTCTGCGTTCTTCCCGTTCAGCTACGGACCGACGATCTGTGCGGGGAAAAACCTGGCGTTGATGGAGATGCGCATGCTGCTCTGCTGGATGCTGCGGCGTTTCCGTTTCTCCAAGGCCCCTGGGGTTACTTATGAGGGTTGGGAAGAAAGGATCCAAGACTGGAACGTGATTCACAACGATCCACTGTTAGTCAGAATATCCCTTAGGGAGTAAGTGTTCGGGCTCGCATATTGGAGATCAAGAAAATTTTCAATTACAGGATGTACCCTAGTGGTCGATATGTAATGCTTTGGTTCACAGGCTAGCAACTCGAAAGTCTCGAATGCCTATTGCAGTGCTAGCTATAGATACCCTATATTACGGAACGAGGAATGTAAAGAAAAACGATGAACCGGGTGACGTCAACAGAGACGGCGGAGAGTATAAAACGCTACGTCCTAAACGACTGGTAAGACGTAAAGTTTTGAAGGGTTGTGTACTGTATGAGGGACAGGAACACACTGCAGGGAGTAGATTGGCTATGATATTCAATACACAAAGCAGAGGTCTAAGACCGCGTGTCGAAAGCCCCGTGCAGGTGAGACAAGCACGCACCAAACAACAATTCTAATCAGTCCTCTTCGTTGATGTTGTGTTTCTTCTTCAGCTGCACCAGCTCCTCCTCTCTCCGCGCGAGCTCCGCCTTTGCGGCCGCCGCGTCCTGCTTAGCAGGCATGTGGTACAATACGACGATATACCGCTCTTGCAAGTGGAAACCATTTAGATGTTCTAACGCATTCTTCGCCTGCGGACGTAGGTGGGTTAGGAGGTAAGAGTGGGGGGAAATAAATGGCCTACGTACGTCCATCACGTCGTCAAACACTACAAACGCCGTTCCCTTCGTCTTCGCCTCATTTCCGATGCGTACTTGCCGTATGCTCCCGTAACGACCAAAGAGGTCGTACAGGTCCTCGCCCGTGATTTGGTAGTTCAGATTCTTGACGAAGAGAATGCGGTTGGCGCCTGGTGGCAGTTTAGCCTGCAAATCCCAATACAGAGGAGCAGCTCAGAGATTGGAATGACCACAGAAACCAATACAGAACGCACAGTCGGTCTTTGCATGGACATTTCGTGACAAGGAGGGTGTTATGGTACTTGTACAGTATGAGTAACGCGCGAAGGCGAGAGATGAGTCGCAGTGTTGAACCGAGAATAGGGTTATGGTTATGCATAAACTTATTTCCCACCCCACAATTAGCGCCTAACGAGCACATCTGAGTCGTATCATTTCATAGAACCCGAGCTTATCAGGCCATGCAAGACGCGAATACACGTATCGTGTGCCGAGAATGTCCGTGCATTGCACCGGTCATTGCTTCCACAACATGGTGCACGGCGTCGAATGTACAAGGCCAAAATAAAAGTATTTAACTCAATCCTCTAGTTGGGCCACTCCCACACACCGCGGCGGCACGAAACTCTCCGCTCGGGTTTCATCACCCCACCGTATGAGTATAGAACAGCAGGACATGCAAAGGTCTATAACAGTTGGAGAAGGGTTCGTCTCGCCGGATAAAGGCGGAAAGCGCGTACATTCGTTACTTTGCAAACTTCCTCGCTAGCTTTTCTACCTGCGCACAATTGGTCCCCCCACGAATGCAGAGTCGAGTGCCGCCCCCAACTTCCTGCGTGTCCGGCACGATACACTTGACATCTTGCACGATTGGGCACGGGCAGTCAATGGGCCGTTTTACGCAAACGAGGGTGTCTGGGCAGAGATAGTCCGAGCAGGAGACTGTCACGAAATAGCGAAGGGTACAGTTTTTTTGTCTAAAGCGTGGCAGTGTGGTGGATAGTACGTACGACTCTCCGCGTGCATGGCCCATTGTTGGCCGCCGGATGGCTGCTGCTGGTGCTGCTGGGGGTTTCCGAACATATCGCCGAAGAATTGAAACTGTGCATTTGCGAGCGCGAAAAGCGCAAATATGAGGGCGAGCAGTGAAAGTCTTGAAGACATGCCGAAGTGCAGCCTTGCGATCCTAAACTTGAGGACACGTCGGCCCTTGCGTCACGTGCACGGCGACTCAGAGCACTTGTCACAGTTATGAGCGAATGACGTCAGCTGTCACGCTATACAGTTCCAAATCAACGGACTTGATCAAGGCCAAACTTTATTTTTCGACGTCAACGTCGTCGAATCCCCACTCGTTCCAATCGAGGAATCCTAAAATTCAAGCATGAGGTGGGTTCTGTCATCCGGGTAGCATAGCCATATCTTACTGTTGTGGGCAGCAAGCTCTCAGTGTCAAGCGTGCGGGGCTCTATTAAGGAGCTGCTCGCCGAATCGACTGGCGAGAAGCGCCGCAACTTCGTCGAGACGATCGAACTCCAGATCGGCCTGAAGAACTATGACCCTCAGCGTGACAAGCGTTTCTCTGGCACCGTCAAGTTCGTTTTTCATGTCCGCGCACATCTTGGTGCATTGACGTGCTGACGCGTAAATAGGCTCCCTAACGTGCCTCGCCCGCGCATGTCCATCTGCATTCTCGCCGATGCCGCCGACATCGATCGCGCCAAGCAGATAGATCTAGAGTACATGTCTGTGGACGATCTAAAGAAGTGTGTGGTAGATATCGACGCGCTCAAACCATTACTCACAGGATGGTGTTCACAGGCTGAACAAGAACAAGAAACTGGTCAAGAAGCTCGCAAAGAAGTACGACGCCTTCTTGGCCTCTGAGGCACTCATCAAGCAGATCCCGCGTCTTCTTGGTCCTGGTCTTTCCAAGGGTATGTCTACAATCGCTCCTTCATTTTTTTGGTGTTTCGTCGATTATTGATTGAACCACAGCTGGCAAGTTCCCAACGCCCGTATCGCCTGCTGAAGACTTGACCAACAAGCTCACTGAGGTACGGTCGACTATCAAGTTCCAACTTAAAAAGGTGTTGTGCCTGGGTGTCGCTGTTGGCCACGTTCAGATGTCGGACGACCAAGTCCTTGGTAATGTCATGCTGAGTATGCCTCGAATACTTTTTTTTCTTTGGTTCTCGCACTAATCTCGCCTAGGCATCAACTTCCTCGTCTCGCTACTCAAGAAACACTGGCAAAATGTCAAATCGTTACACATCAAGTCAACGATGGGCAAACCTATCCGCATATTCTAGAAGTGCTTTGACTGCTGGAGCAAAAGCCAGAGGTTGACGGATCTCATGAACGGAGGGAGAGTGGGTGCCAACCGCAATGCAAAACATGAAGCCCCGCACGCTTGGACCAACGGCTTTCTGGGGGTTGAAGGCCGATTGGGAGCTGATGCGGTTTGCTACACGCGACTCTCTTTAGTGAATGACAGGTTCGGATATTTCTTGTTATTGTTCCGTGTAGGCAATACGTGTAATACATGAGAATGTGTAGTTTATGATATGCAACGATGCCCATACTGATTACCAGTGAGTATAGTACACCCACTCACCTGGGTCGTGTCTATGTAGATCCCTTCGGATTCAGAGATAAGCCCTGGAGTTAAAGCGAGGGCTAGAAGAAACGTAGGAGATGTATAGAAGATGTCTGGGGCTACCTGGGGAAGGATTAAGGGTTGCGACGGGGCGCTAGCCCGGGGCAGTCTGCTATACCGCTATCGGGTCGCGGGCAGCTAATCTGGGACAGATAAGAATCGTCCTTCTCTCTGGACAGTGCTTGTTCAGGATTGTGGTGCCTTACGTTAGAAGGGTAGAACAAGTATAACTGGGAGGAGATGATATGGGAGAGGGAGAGGAGGGAATTCTACAGCCACGATCTACAGACGTACCCGGCGGTCCCGGGGGCCCCTGCACTGCCATTTCGTATACGAAAGAACTTGATGATATTTTCTATGCTTCCATTAAAGCATTGGTGGTGTAGCGGTAACATTGGGTCTTCCCACTGGTCCTGCGATCTGTGTGGCCTAGCTCCGGGTTCGACTCCCGGCCAATGCATTTTGTTTTGGTACGACCTTACAATTGCACTGGTGCTCCTATTGCTTACCTTAAGTTTCATTGGGCTGCCAGTGGTAGAATTTTGTCTTTTTTCTGCACCTCGATGTAGAACGTCGACTCTATCACCATCTTCGCCAGTCACCGCTCTTCTACATGCCCCAGGGACCGTCTAATCCTCTTTGATGTTTGCAATCACGCTGTCTCAGATGCTTCAAGTGCAGCACTCTACTTTCTACTCCTACGCGGCTGTTATCGTGCAAACGCGTAAGTTTTTTAATAGACCCAAACAGGAAGGAGGGGGCGTGGGGGAGGTCACATATCAGACACATACTGCAAGGGTTCTACAAAGCTGTGCCCTTGACTTTCGGTGTTCATATGTTCAACTTTGTGCGCCTCCAGTGGCGGCATTTGGCGTTATACTACATCACCAGAAGATGTTGGCACTGTCGATTCATCGTAGTAAATTATGGACGCACCTGGATCTTGGTAACCGTCTTCAGACGGAACCATTGGGGGATAGGCATGTGGTCTCATGTGTAGGTGGGCCGGCTGCAGATAGAGATAGAGTACCGGTACCACTCACCGATTCTGGCGGGCAGCCTTAGAGAGAATCCGTTTTGTGAAAGGACTTTTGAGATGGCTGTTGAAGGTTAAGCGGTCCTCACGAGAAAAGCTTGGTCGACGAGACTGACCATTCACGATCCTTGTTCGTGTTTTGACGATGTGTTTCAGGCTGGACAGCGGGTGGGAAATAAAATTACCGTAGGTTACTGTAGATTCCGAAAGAACTGTACGGCACCAACGATGACAAATATTGTTTAAGAGATACCTAAAACAAACGACACCCAGCTTCCCAGCTTCGTATTCGAGATCTCGGCTCGGCAACACTCCAGCCGGAAGGTTCACGGCATCGCTCTGCATGGACATTCAGATGCTCTCGTGACAACCCTTGCTTGATGGAGGACATGCCGTAAATACCAATGACTGGGCAGTTGGGACTTACGTTGGCGTTGAGTATGCCGAGAGCCGAAAACTTCTTTTTCTGATGCAGTCGCCTTGGAAGTTAGAACAAGCTCGTCGTTCTCCCAGGGTTCTCTCAATCCCTTATTACAGTAAATAATATGGTTCTTCCATGCAACCTGCCTCGAACACCCACCACGTCATGTTGTCAGCCTCCCCAGCTGCGGCGCTCTCCCTCAGCCTCAGCGCCTTACCGAGCTTTGCCAAATCCATCGCTCTTCTGCTCCTCATTTTGAATGTGCGGTCCTTGCCCTTAGTCTGGCACTGTAAGTGGCTTCCATTCATCTCCAAGTTTCGTTTTTCCTTGTCGCGCCTGCTTATAATTATTATCAGTGAAGGTGTTCTGGCCCCTCACCAGGTTGTGGTGGCTCGCGCGCCGTGCGCGCATACGCATGCCCTTCTTCTCGTCTTCTACGAGCAAAAACGATGCGCACAAGTTTCGTGACGACCTCGTGCCCATCGGCCAGAATCCGCTCGACCGCATTTTAGTGACTAAAGCTTGGGCGGGTGTGTAGTGGTTACACTCCCCTTTCTCTTTTACTTCATTGACTTATTTCTCTGCTTTCTTTTTCGGTAGGACCCGATGATTGTGACTACAACTGGCACCTCAGCAACTCGTCTTACCCGAAGGTGAGTGATGCGATTCCTGTCGGGCTCGGGTCCTGCGCGGGCCGAACCGGGTGAGACACTGAGGCTGAGCGTCATTCTTTGTGGCCCTAAAATAGCTCCTTGATTTGGCGCGTACGAACAGCGTCTTGTACATTTTTCCTTCCTTTGTGCTCGCTGGGGGTGGGATCGCGCTAGCCGGTATATCTCGCGCTGCAGTTCTTCCTCGGCTACCTTGTTGATCGTCTCGTTTCGTGCAGGCACGCACTTCCAATTCCTGCGCGAGATCCCCATGTTCGCGCGCTACGAGGTACGCTCGCAGATTGTCGGCTGGGACCACAAATGGGTACGATCAACTCACTTGCCCGCTTGTTTACCCCTGCTCACCTTCTGCTTTACGCAGCTCTATGTCGTTCACCGCTTCGTCTCGCACCACAAGCCCGCATCGCGCCGGTCCGCGCCAACAGTCATCAACGACCATACCCCCAAAACCGACAACAGCAGCCCATCCTCAACGCCAACGCCGTCGGACTCCAGTACAGACCTCCCGGCACTCGCCGCCCGTGCTGCCGCTGCGGCGCGCGAGCCCGAGCCGGACGGCGCAACGTTGCACTGCATCTCGGTAAACGTGATGGTGTTCAAGCACGGGAGAATCACGGTTCCGCCCGCGCTCGTGCTCGCGGGCGAAGGGTTTGGCGCGACGCACGCGCAAGGTGCCGCTGCGCGTGCGCGCGCGGTGGAGCTCGGGCACCGGGGAATGCGTGAACTGTACCGCGGGGCGTGGCGCGCCGTACCGGAAGGCTCCGAGCGCTGGTGGGATGCAGCGATGCACGGGCTTGAGGAACGTATTGAGCAGCGCGTGGCGCGGGTGATCGGTGTGCGCGCCGGACTCGAGGGCGCATTGGAAGTCCCGGGGCTGTGATATATATCTCCTAGATGTATAATTTTTTTATTTTGTTTTTTTTTACAGTAATTAGAGTATAGTGTGCGCACTACTGTAGGGACCGCGGGACTCGGAAGTGGCGCGAGTCAAGTTAGTTATTGCAGGCGTTTGCGTCCCCTTGAAACCCCTGTGCGCGGTGCACTGGCAGCACGCGGACCTTCTCTGGCATGGAACGTGTCCACGTAAGGCCTACAACGGCTCAGAGAAGACGCGGCGTCGGCTCCTAGTTCAGACCCGCTCTGACACCGCACTACCGACTAAGCGACAAAGTGTAAACACTATGACTGTACCACCTCCAACACGCTATGACCTCGCTTCTGTGTTCAATGTACCAAGTCCCATCTGCGTCTGCGTTCGCGTTCTAGCCGCTCCTCTACCCCCACTCCGCTTCAGTTTGTCTACACTTTCCCGAGCTCCACTGAGACGACACGTTCATAGTCGCCCCGCACAAATACGGAGGCTCGGTAGGGAGGCATTTCGTGGATCAGGTTGGGGTGGCTTATGGGTTTACAGTGGGAGGTCTTTGCGGAACGGGGAGCGGTGGCTGGAGAGGGTGTCTGCGGCGCAGAGTGGTCGTCGACTTGGTGCACGGATCAGGGGCATGCGCTATGATGAGCTTCTGAGGGTGTGCGTAGTACAGGAGGGGAAGGAGAAGAGTCGGGGTCACAGACGCATTTGGTGAGACTGGTACATGTGGGGTGTAGTATGAAGTGTATTGGTTTTAGATGTGATATAGGTAATGTTGCCGATGTGAGCAGTTCGCGGGCATTTCACAATGTAATCCAATTCAGTCGGCTATTTCACGAAATCTGATTGGTCAGATTTTTGCAACTCTGTGCACTCAGAAGGGTATAATTACTTACACGCACACTATCGCCACAGTGCTTCTTGATCGACACGTTTATGCATAGTGGAGTCCAATTAAATGGAGCACAATTATACCTGATCGGTTGACGCTAGAGGGTGGTGTTCGACTTTATAGTCCAGGTTCGTCCTGTTATTGATTGGTCCCTTCTGTGCACCTCTCCTCGCTATATTCTTGTAGCTCAGAAATGGCCACGATCAACACAAATGTGGATATCGGGGCTCTGACCCATGGTGTTACTTGGCCTGGGCATCAACCCGCAATTGCCACAGGTCCTCAACATCCTCGACCTACAGTTACCACAGGGGCTCAGCCTCTTGCTCAGGCCACAAGTGTCAATGACCGTCCTCATAGGAATACTGCGGCATCGCACATTGCGGATAATTCAGATCCTCAGCGGGGTATGTTGACTTGTCGTTTCACAAGTTGTATTCTCATTCGCGTACTAGGCGAGAAGTACGGAGACTCTTCTGATGGGCTGTGGTCGATGTACCTCACTGAGGCCGAGAAACAGGATAAGGAGGTGATTGAGAGTTGGAAGGGGGACACAGAGGGGATCCTTGTATTTGTGAGCCCTACTCCATCTTGTGCATATTCAACAGCTAAAACAAATGTCGAAGACTGGTCTGTTCTCCGCCACCGTCGCCGCCTTCATTATCGAAAGCTATCAGAAGCTATCTCCCAATTCCGGTGATACGACCAATGCGCTCCTTGCTCAAATATCTCAACAACTTGTCAACATCTCTAACGGGACACCTCTCACAAGCGTCACAGTGCAGATCAGTCAGCCATTCAAACCAACAGCTTCCGCCGTCAGGGTCAACGTGTTGTGGTTCCTCAGTCTGGTCCTCAGCTTGACTTGCGCGCTTTCCGCAACACTGATGCAGCAATGGACCCGACGGTATCAGGAATTTGCTCAGCGCCACGGTGCACCTCACAGGCGCGGGCGTATGCGGGCATACATATTCGATGGGATTAGCAGGTTCAGAATGACTCGAGCCGTCGCGACGATGCCCACGCTCCTTCATATATCCGTCTTCCTCTTCTTTACCGGTCTCGTCGACTTCCTTTTCCCCATCGACACGACTGTCTCATACTTCACCCTTGGCTGGGTCGTGGCGTTCGCTCTGGTATACGCAATGTTGACGGTTTTACCGAACTTGTCCCTCGATTGCCCGTATCGAACTCCCCTGTCCGGATTCACATGGCGGTTATCCCAGTATTCCGTGATCATAGTTTCAGGGGCCGCCCTCGAAATCGAGGACCTATTTCAGAACTTCGTGTTAAAGTTATGGAGTCGGGTTAATCAGCACGTGACGAGACCCGAAAGGTGGAGGGAGGCGCTCAAAAAACGGGTCGAGATACATCGACAACGTCTTTCGGATGGCCTACGGAAGTGTGTCGAGCGTAGCGCCAAGGATGCCCCGTCCGCGGTAGTCGCGAGTGCGCTTGAATGGACACTTGCAGCTCTCGACGAAGACAAGGAGATCGAAAAATTTGCGGCGGGTGTGCCAGGATTCTTTGACTCCCGCGTTGTCCTAGATGCGACCTCTGCAATCCTTCCCC